TACATACATACATACATACATACATACATACATACATACATACATACATACATACATACATACATACATACATACATATATATATACACATATATATATACATACATATACATATTCATGCATACATAACACTACTCACTGCGTGGAGCTCCCCATATGTGCATCTCATGTTTTATGTCATGCCACAACGAGCGTCTGTTCATGAACGCTTGACTATAATAGCGAACGGGCCCGTGTCCTACCCCCTGGCGGCTCTCCTTAGGGATGCTGAAACCAGCGCCGCGCCTGAGACATCCTCAAAATCTGCTCTGAAAGCCAAGGGTGTTGGGCACGAAAGCGAGCAAACCGCCTGAGACATCCTCACAAACACGCCGCGAACGGGCCCGTGTCCTACCCCCTGGCGGCTCTCCTTAGGGGTGTTGAAACAAGCGCCCCGCCTGGGACATCCTCAAAATCTATTTTGACAACAAAAAATGTTGAGCATGAAAACGAACAAACCGCCTGAGACATCCCCACAAACTGGCCGCGAACGGGCCCATGAAAACACCCCTGGCGGTTCCCTTCAGGGGTGTTGGGACCAGCGCCCCGCCTGATACATCCTCAAGATTTGCTATGACAGCAAATGATGTTGGGCTTTAGACATCCCCACAAACTGGCCACGAGCGGGCCCGTCAAAAACACCCCTGGCGGCTCCCCTAAAGGGTGTTGGAACCAGCGCCCCGCCTGAAACATCCTCACAATCTGTTGTGAAAGCAAATGATGTTGGGCATGAAAACGAGCAAACCGCATGAGACATCCCCACAAACTGGCCGCGAACGGACCCGTGAAAACACCCTTGGCGGCTCCCTTTAGGGGTGCTGAAACCGGCGCCCCCTCTGAGACATCCTCACAATCTGTTTTGACAGCCAAGGATGTTGGGCATGAAAACGAACAAACCGCCTGAGACATCCCAACGAACTGGCCGCGAACGGGCCCGTGAAAACACCCCTGGCACCTCCCCTTGGGGGTGCTGAAACCAGCGCCCCGCCTGGGACCTCCGTATAAACTTACCTGACAGCCAAGGATGTTGGGCATGAAAACGAACAAACCGCCTGAAACATCCCCACAAACTGGCCGCGAACGGGCCCGTGAAAACACCCCTGGCGGTTCCCTTCAGGGGTGCTGAAACCAGCGCCCCGCCTGATGCATCCTCAAAATATATTATGAAAGCCAAGGGTAGTGGGCATGAGAACAAGCAAACCGCCTGAGACATCCCAACCAACTGGCCGCGAACGGGCCCGTGAAAACAACCCCTGGCGGCCCCCCTTGCGAGGGTAAGGGCTGAGTATGAGTAGGTATCAGTCCGTGCGTTGGGCAACTCAGACTATGAAAAGGTCCGAGTATGTGTAGGTATGAATATGAGTAGTTCTGTGTATGACCAGATCTGGGAACGAGTCCGGGTATGAGTAACTCTGGGTACGAAGGAGTCCCAGCGTGAGAGTATGAGTAAGTCTGGGTATGAGTAAATCTGTGTATGAGTAGGTGTGTTCTCTCTGGTTCTCTGGAGTCGGCGGCGCCCGAGTAATAATTATTCACTGCGTGGAGCGCCCCATATGTGCATCAATTCGCATAGACCTGTCCGCCGTGAACGTCTAGGCGCAAGAGTTTTCGATCAAACTCTTTCCTCCTGCGCGACTCGGAGGGAACTCCGTTCCCCCTGGATACATGCAAAAGCACGACTCGGGGGGAACAGCCTTCCCTCTGGATACGCGCCAAGCTCTTTCGTCCTGCACGACTCGGAGGGAATTCCCGGCCGACCTCGCCGACCGAATTCGCGCCCCTGCGCTGCTGCTTGCGCGGCCTACTTTCGCAGAGCGCATGGCAGCTCTTTGGTTGACGGCCACGAGGCAAATGAGATGGGTGTTTGTAGTCCTTCACAGAGAACTGTTACGACGCCACGTTTTGCCGGAGAGCTGTCAAGATACCATTCGTTGCGGCCGCACTCCCTTTCTGAGTCCAGTAGCACAATAACGCAAGCAGCGTTCAGTGTCAAGGACGGAAGCCCGCCACCGACGAGCAGCGAAGCACAATTCGCCTGTTCGGGGAAGGGCTTCTCAGAACCATAGGAAGCGGCTTCCGCCTGAGACTTCCTCGCAATGCACTCACAGCCGAGGGTGAGCGGGCGGCAGTGATGCGCCGTAGGCGTCTGAGATAGCAGTCAAGGAAGGAGGGAAGGGAGGGCGAGAGAGGGAAAGGATGGAGAGGGGCGGTTGTCCTGGAGGGGGGGGCGCGCCCATCCGAGGGAACGGTGCACCCCCCCCCTCCCATCACGCTAGTTCAGACAAGGCGCTTTCCAATGTTTCGAGCTGCCCCCGCTCCGCGAACCCCATTGGGAGGTCGAGATCCCCACTCTGCAGTGGGGTTCGCGGAACGGGGCGCCCCCCCAGGTGCCTGTTATCTTCGCGCTGGCGGCGGGGTGGCACCCAGGGAGACCTTTCTACTTCGATGAGAGGAGAAAGGG